AGGAGCTGGAAGTGGAAAAATGAAAGGGAAATCAAAGGAATTTTTTGTTTCGGTGTGTCGTGTTTCACAAAGACCCATTAGGGTGAGCAGTAACTCAGGCAAAGGGCTCTTAGTCGTGAAAGCAGTACTACTTGCCATGGACAAGGAAACTGAAAGAAAAATAAGCAGAAGTTTTGTGGAAAGTCCATCGGTGAGAAGAGACCAAATGGATGTGGTCAAACCATCTCCTGCTCTTTTCTTCTTAGGTGGCAGGAGGAAGCCACACATTTGCAGAATCAGGCTGTGCCCCTGCTACAGAAAGAATAGCATCCTTTGAGACTAGTGTGGTGGAAGCAGATGGCACTGAGGGGGAAGGCAGTGGCCCAGGCTGGGAGTGTGGGACAAATCCAAATGTTGGAGTTCACGAGAGAGATGGAATCTCTGTAACTTAATAAATTGTGAAGGCATGTTTGCAAAGCTGGTGTACTTAATTAGTTGTTGAAGACGAAGGGCCTTTCTGATTCATACAAATTATACTTGGCTTGGTTAACCTGATTGTTAAGTGGTCTGAGCTAAGACAAATGATAAGGAGATTAAAAAAATTGATCATTCACCAGGCTTCCCAAGTGGCAGGCTGCCTGAGGAGAATGCACACTGTCTTGCCCCAATAGAATAATTTGTCACAAGATGCTGGAGAAAAAGCCATGATGATTTGATTTTACAGATACCCTTTTACAGAGTGGTCACAGCGAAGGGTTAGGCACAGTGCAGGAACACCCTGCCCCAGCTGCCACCACCACCGGCCTCGGGAACATAGGTGTGTTGCAGCCCAAGGTGTGCACTGTCTCATCGTCTGTTCAGGCTGCTATCACAAAAGAGCCATAAACTGCTGGCCTAACTGACGAATACTTCTTTCTCACAGTTCTGGAGTCTGGGAAGTCCAAGATGAGGTGCCAGTAGGTTCAGTGTCTGGCGAGGACCTACTTCCTGGTTCACAGATTCGGCCTTCTCTCTGTGTCCTCATGTGGTGAGAGGGGGTAAAAATCCCTGGGGTCTTTTGTTAATAAGGGCAGTAATCCCATTCATGAAGAAACTATTCTCATGATCTCATCACCTCCCTAAGGCCCACCCACAAACAACATTTCATTGGAAGTTAGGATTTCAACACCAAATTTGGGGAAAACCTAAATATTCAGTCCATTGCACAATCTCCCCTTTATTCCTGTACTCTCTTTGGAGTGAGATTAATCATATTTGGGTTCATCTTCAGTACAAAGAAATATTAATTGAATTTGGTGAGGCAACAGTAAGGATCCTGAAGGTTCAAACGCTGATGATTACAAACCTCTCACCTAGACTGTGCTGAGGACGCTAGGTGGTGGGCTATCCTTCTTCTGTCTTCATAGGCCCCTCATGTTCAGTCCCTGCTGCCTGGGGACCTGAAGGTCTGTGACCCACTGTGGGTTCTTGGCTTCACACAGGAAAGAATTCAAAATCAAGACAACGTAGAGTTTAAAGTGGAAGTTTATTAGTGAATCAGAGGGACAGAGAGAAAGCTACTCCATAGGCAGAGCTGCCCCTCCCTAGTGGGCTTTACTTCTTTTGCTGGAGCTCATTTCATCAAGGGACAGGGCATTCAATAGAGGAGGGAATATCTAGGATTTTTCTGGGAAAGGGGTGGAGACTTCTTGAAAGACCCCTGTCAGCTATTTTGTGTCCTTATATGGGCTCTCTGTTTTGGATCCTGGTAGCGCGGGGTGTGTCATTTAGTATGCTAATGTATTACAATGAGCGTATAATGCGGCTAGGGGTTACCTAAGGTGAACTTAGTCACCACGGGATCAAGCTGGTCTTCTGGTTCTAAGCCATAAATCCACTGGGAGTTGGTCTCACTGTCTCCATGATAGTTCCTGCAGCTCTCATCAGCACAACGTTTCTCCACATACTCTCTCTCACCTCCACCTCTCCCTGAATACATTTGACCTTCAAAAACATTGATTTGAACTTTTTTCAATATATAAATAAGATACTATAAATATATTTTCTCTTCCTTATGATTTGCTTAATAACATTTTTTCTTCGTTTATTTTAAGAAAATAGCATATAATACACAGATAATAGCAAATATGTGTTAATCAACTGCTTGTGTAAGGCTTCTAGTCAATGGCAAGCTATTAGTAGTGAAGTTCTGAGGGGAGTCAAAAGTTATATGAAGATTTTCAATGACATGGGAGTTGGCATGCCTAACCCCTCTTGTGTTATGCAGAGGTTAACAGTACTTTGCCCTTGGCCACTCTTCTCTGACCACCAGGATGCCCAGCCCTTTCTCCTGCCTGAGGGCCTTTGCTCCATTTAGCCCCAGGCTCACACCCTGCATTCCTTCAGGTCCTTGTTCAGTGAGGCCTGCTCTGGACCCTCTCCCTGGCCCTTCTCCCCGAGCAGAGTGCAAGCTCTATACGGGGAAATGTCTCTGTCCCTTTCAGTTCACTAAACATGACTAGGCCTGGCACATAGTAAGTGTTACTCAATATTCATGGAATGAATAAATAACCTGCTTTCACCTCAACTTCTTTCTTCATATTTAAAGGGTTTCGATAAAAATTTTTTCCACTTACTTTCCTAAGGACATTGTTGTCTCTCAAGAAAGAAAATTGAGTTTCTAATATGCAGGAGGAACGTCTCCCTAATTTCCTGCACGGTCATAAAGTCCTTCTTACTTTTCATATTTCTTCATCAATTCACTGGAGAAACACAAAATCAGTGCCTCAGGATATTATCTTACTCAGAGACAGGGTCTTCCATCATTCACTAGAAGTTATCTCCTGTCTGTTCACATCTATGTAAAATTCAAACATAGTCTTTATACAATCACTAAAGTATATGAGGATTCTAATAGATTATGAGTTAAAGCCATCACTTGTTAGAAGAATGATATTTTTACATACGTTTTCTCAATATTCAAATACTAAACAAAATAGGAGGAAGAGTGTATGTAAGTACCAAACACAGTTAAAATATAAACAAATCCACAAGTCAAAGTTCATCAGATGATATCTGAAACTGTAGTTCTCCTACTAAGAAACAAAATATAAACAGAGTCGAGGATGTCTTTAGAGTAAAAGAGTTATGTAGCCTCGCATGTTAGTAAAAGGTAGTGTTTGAAAGTGATTATTATGTTGTTTAGAATGGCTCTTTTGTCAGAGAAAAATACTTATCAAACTTCTTTCTACCAGAACAAAAGTGAAACACGCAGAGGGACAGCTAAGAGCAGAGAGCCCACTTGACTAGGACTTGGCTCCTCTTGAGAAAAAGAAAAAAAAATCTGCTCTCCAGTAACTGGCTTTGTCTCTGTGGACATTCTGTCTAAAATCTGGGTGTCTCAGTTTCCTCATTTATAAAATTTGGAGATTGGATTTCTAAGATCTTCTTCAGTCTACAAGTTTTTGTTCTGAACATCTCTCTATCACTGATACTGGAATAACCTCCTCCTCCCCAACACACATCACAACACACACACACACACACACACTTACATATACTTCACACTAATGCACCACATTTCACCCCATTCCTTCCTGTATTCCTAGCCATCTTGCAGAATCTGTGGGCATCACTGTATTTGAGATGCACATTAGCATCCCAGGCATAAGCAGTAAATGTTTCCAAGTTCAACTCAAAGGACTATGTTTTCAAAAGTTTATGTAGCTCAAGTTTTACATCATTCACAGTCCAAACCTCCCTCGCCATATGGCAAAAACATACCAGAGTTAGCTTGGGGTCCCACAAATAACCACAATTCTAGTTTCTGCATTTGGTGTGTGCACATCTGGAGCCTTGCCGCCTCTGCAAAAGCTGCCCTCCCAGGGTCAGCTAATCCTTAGAGCTAGTCAATGACTCGCCTTTTCATACGCAGACCAACCATTTTAGTGTCCATACCCCAACCACTTTCTCTACCTGCTCTCACACTTAAGGCCACTGTTCCCTTTCCCTAACGACCCCAGGGCCTGATGTCAGATGACTAGGAAGAGCCTCTAGGCCTCACAGCCTGGCGAGATTATTCGGACTAGCCGATTCTAAGCTTGTGCACCCTGCCTTGCCCATTCCTTCCCATGGAAACGACAATAAAGGCTCCCACATTTCGCCTCACTCCTCGTACCTCCTGCCTAACCCAGGTGCTGCTCCATGCGCCCCTGCACGGCATCCCGGGCCTCCTGTTTCTAGGAATCTGTGGGGGGGAAAATCTTCCTTTATGACAGTCATTTCCATATCTGTGTACCTGATTAAAATGACCCTGGGCATCCTGAAAACACTAACACTCTCACCCGTCAAAGTAGGGACAACTGAACATCAGTGTAAGTAATGACAGTAAAGGATTATGATCTATTGTGTGGAATAAGATCCCATAAGTTCATTTTGATAATAATGAATAAATGAACAAAATATAAGTGGCAAGAAGAAAATGTCTTCCTTATAGTAAAGTGTCAACCAATAAATATAGAGGAAATAAGAAACACATTAGTGGTGAATACTAAAACTAGTGGGTAAATGTTTGATGGGAACAGGGTAGTTACATAGTCTCAAAGTACCTCCCTCAAAATTATGTTTTAATTATAAATAAAAGATTAGTACCTTTATACAAGAGAAACCTGGCAGACACCACCTAAACTCAAAGGGAAGGTTTTTCAGCATGATGGACAGTGACAGGCAAGAGGCCACGTGAAGCTGAGAAAAACCTCCCAGAGGGGATGTGTCAATGAGGAGTTCTAACTAAACTTCTGAAAGTATCAAAAAGTTAAACTAAGCAGAGGACCCTTTCCTCTGGCACTCCAGTTGAATATCTTTGTTCAAGTAAATTGAAAACAAGATGCTATAAACTATAATTATTTGGCTTTTGGGCATTTCTGGTATTTCCAAAGTATCTTCTCAAATATTATCTTACTTGATGTTATTTTTCACAGCAGTTCTGTGACACAAAGTTTTGTTATCTCCTATTGTACATATGAACAACCTGGACCCATAGGCTAAATTACGTGCCCTCCGACACAGGAGAAAGGCAGGACCCGACACTGCACTGTCACCCGGACTCACTCGCACCAGTTGTCTCCTCTGAAAAATGCTGGCTCACTCCACACTACAAAGGGGTAGGAAAAACACTTGAATATTTATTTTCAATTTTATTTTGTGGGTACACATAATCTAAATCACTTCTCTCTGGTACAATTCCTGAAAATAAACACAAATATCAGAAAGGTAAGTTAAATTAAATCTTTAAAAAGTGTGTCAAGTAAAATGTGAAAGAGTAAAACAATAAAGAGATGTATTTCCATCTATAAAAACCAAGGAGAGCCCTGGCCAGTTTGGCTCAGCAGTTAGAGTGTCAGCCCTCGGACTGGAGAAATCGGGTTTGGTTCCCGCTAGGGGCATGTACTTCGGTCGCAGTTTGTCTCTGGCCCCTGTTGGGGTCATGTTGGTGGCAACCACTCAATGTGTCTCTCTCACATCAATGTTTTTCTCTCTCTCTTTTTCCCTCTCTCCCTCTCACTCTATCTGAAGATACATGCAAAAATGTCCTCGGGTGAGGATAAAAAAAAAAACAAAAAACAAGGAGACAAATGTCATCTTCAGTATAGGAACTGCCTACCACCTGTTTCTCTCAAGAACATTTTCTTTTGTCAACCAGCATGAGAGAATGTCATAACAATGCACAATGTCTAAAACATATCAATCAGGAAGAAAATAGCAGAAAATAAATCTGAAGGTAACATCCTTTTAATACTATTTGAATTTTAATTATGTGTATGTATTGCAGTGATAAAAATTGAATTTTTTTTCAAAGAACTGATTATTTCATAGTGGGGTTAGGATAAACACATCAGCACCTCTAATCTCAAGGATGAAATGGTTATGCCCCTTAAACCATGGATCTCATGCTGCGAGTTCAGAGAATGGAGAGGGCTCTACAGCACCCCTCTCGGCTCAGTTCCTGCACCAAATTCAAGTCTCAGCATCTCTGCTCACTGTCACACAGCTTGGCCATAATCTGGTGGACATGGTGTTCCTTACTGAATTGGGAAGTTTTCTCTCTGACAGATCAGAAGATCCTCATGAAACCGACATCCCATGGCAGAGGTTGAAATGATGCCTAACTTTAGTTCCATCTCTGACTAAAAGATGTTTCCAACATTTGGGGAAATTGTTTGCTACAGTTCTAAAGATTAGGGGAGTTCATAAGTTATGAATGCTCTTCCCTTAAATAATTTATGCAATGTCTCCAAGAAGAGGCAGCCTTTCAAAGACTCTTTTCACCCATATAGAAAACCAATTTTTTTATATTTCTGGTGCAAGATCCGGAGAAGGAATGAAGGTTTCCTTTGAGGTGTGGGAAGGTAAGTTAGAAGCATGCTGACCCAGATCACTGTGTGACTCCTTCGCTCCAGCCACCAAGGTCTGTTTGCTGTTCCTGAGCGTACTAAAAACCATCTTGCCACTTACCCTATGTCCATGCTGTTTTCTCTGCCTGGAATGCTGTTCCCTTCTGTCTTTATTACCTAAGTACATCACCTTCCTCATTTATAAAATGGGAATACTAATACTACCTACCTCACGGCATTGTGAGGACTGAGGGAGATGTAAAGGGCACAACATAGTTCCCTGCAAATAGTGAACATATGATAATGTTACCTGTGGTGGTGGTGGTGGTGATGATGATGATGATGGTGATGATGATGATGATGATATTGATGACTTGTTTTTCATTACATGGAACATGATACCATCAGTAGGGCATGTGCTCCAAGATGTGTTTCTATCTATGGTGACAGTGATGGTAATTCCCAATGAATTATTCTCTTACCAAGAGACTACCCTGTGCATGTTGACAAGAGAACCTAAAACTACTCTAAAAAATAAAGTCTATTAAAAAACGACTCCTCTTTACAATAGCATCACAAAGAATAAAATATGCAGGAATAAATCTAACAAAAGAAGTTAAAATCTTATACTCTGAAAACTACAAAATATCATTGAAAAAATTTAAAGATAACCTAAATAAATGGAAAGATATCCTTTATTCATCGATTGGAAGACTTACTATTGCCCAAATTTATGTATCAATTCAAAGAATCCCTAGCTGTCTATTTTGTAGAAATTTATGATGATTGTAAAATTCCCATGGAAATAAAAAAACAATCAAAATTGCCAAAACAATCTTGAAAAAGAAGATCAAATTTGGAGGACTCACACTTTTTGATTTCAATACATGCTTCAAAGTTACAATAATCAAGACATTATGGTAACGAAAAAAGGACAGAGAGATAAATCAATGGAATCAAATTGAAAGTGCAGGAATAAATCCATACATTTATGGTCAAATGATTTTTGACAAAGCTGCCAAGATAATTCAGTGGAGGAAAAAAAATAGTCTTTTTAACAAATAGTGCCAGAACAATTGATAACTTGCAAGCAAAGGAATGAGATCTGACTGTTTCCTCATACTACCCACAAAAATTAACTCAAAATGAATCATAGACATAGATGTAAGAGTTAAAACTATATTGGTTCCTAAGATGTGACACCAAAAGTGCAAGCAAATGAAAAATTAATAAATTAGACTTCATAAAAATTAAAACTTTTGTGCTTCAAAGGACACCACCAAGAAAGTGGTAGAATAACCCAGAGAATGAGAGAAAATATTTGCAAATCCTATATGGCAAAGCAACTTTTACCTAGAACACATAAAAACTCTTCCAAATCATTTATAAAAAAGATAAATAACCCCCCAAAAATTGACAGAGGCTCTAAATAGACATTTTTCCAAAGAAGATAAATAATTGGCAAAAAAAAAAAATACAGAAAAAGATGCTCAACATTATTAGTCATCAAAAAAATGTAAGTCAAAACCACAGTGAAGTACCACTTCATACCACTGGGATGACTAGAGTCAAAAAGACAACTAATAACATGTGTTGGCAAGATTATGGAGAAAATGGACCCCTCATACACTGCTCATAGAAATAAAAAGGATGCAGCTAGAAAACAGCCCAGGAACTTCTCAAAGATTAGATATAGAGTTACTGTATGACATAGCAATTCCACTGCTAATTATGTACCCAAGAGAAATGAAAACACATGTTCATATAAAAATTTGTACACAAATGTTAAGAATGGTATTATTCATAATGGCCAAAAAGTACAAACAATCCAAATGTCCATCAACATGATGAATGAGTAATAAAATGTGGTATGTATACACACATTCAAGATTATTCAACAATTAAGGAAATGAAGCACTGGTACATGCTACAACATGGAGGAGGGTTAAAAAATTATGCTATGTGGAAAAAGCCACATACTAAAGCCCACATATTGTATGTGCTCATTTGTACGAAATGTCCAGAATAGGCAAATTTATAAAGACAGAAAGTAGATGAGTCATTGGTGAACTCATGGAGGGAATGGGGAGTGACTGTTATATATACAGGGTTTCTTTTGGAGTGAGAAAAAATTCTAAAATTGATTGTGATGATGGTTGCACAGTTCTGTGAATGTATTAAAAAACATTTAGAAAATTCTATGTTCACCTCCTCCCATGACCATATAAAAATTACAAGTAAATAATAAAACAATCAACCTGGAGAACCATCTGAAGATTAGCTGAACAGAAGTCCTATAACTAAGGATATAAAGAAGAAGCTACATCAAGACAGCTAGGAGGGGCAGAGACATGAAAGAGGCTGACCCCACACCCTTGTGTGGCAGTTGAGAATCAAGAGGGATATCTCAGCTGCAGAGGTCCCCCCGAAGGAACAAAGGTTCTCAGCCCCACACTGTGCTTCTCAAACTGGAGCACCAGTGCCAGGAAGAAAAGCGCTAACATCTGGCTATGAAAATCAGTAGGAATTCCACCCATCTGGGTGAGATGGATGGCTGATGGAGTCCAAGGCATCCTCTCAGACAGCCCCGGCACAGATTCACTTGCTCACAGGCACTCACCATGGGCTATGGCAGAGGGGTAGTGGCTTGGTGTGCTCCAGAGAAAGACAGGGAAAAACTGAGTTGTGTGCCTTTAAGGCAAGGGATGGGGTAACGGCTGCCTCTGTGTTCAGCCCTCCTCTGAATCTGCATTAACCTGGTGAACTCCACTCATCCCACACTGGTTATTCCCTGAGACCCTGCCTCCTCCAACTTGCATACAACCCAAGGCTCATTCAGTGTCTGAGCCTAACAGGCAGCTGGCAGGTGGTGGCAGATCTTGGGGTGCCCTTTGGCTGAGCAGGCCCCGGTTTCGTACTGGTGGCAGTTGGCCTCAGTTTGCAGCATGGCCTCTCCCATGTGCCTCTAGGCCCAGCACAGGCAGCTACCAACTTCAGATTGCTTTGTAGCTCCTATCAGGTAGTACAGTGTTGTCACAGGCAGTGGCTGACCTTGGCCAGCACCCAAGTCCTTCCAAAGAGGCCCATACCTGGTGCCCAGGGACAGACCACAAAAGAGCACCACCCAACTAGCTCCATAAATAACATTCTCAAAGGCTGGTCTTGGAAGAAACTAGATCCCACTGGGGCAAGTTCTGCTCTTTGCGGTCAACCCTGAAACAGTTCCTATACTGTGCTCATGTCCAATCCTCACAGCCAGTCAGGTTGAGGGACTCTCTGACCCACTGACATGCTAATAGCAATTAAGGCTCAACTACAACAGGAGGGCACACACAATCCACCCAAGGTACATTCTTGGAGCACTCAGCTCAGGTGATCTGGGAGACTGCACTACTGGGCACCACAGGACACCAACTATATAAGGTCACACTGCCAAAGCTAGAAGAGAGCGGATCTACCTGGTAGGTAGAAACAAAAACAAAGAGGCAGCCAAAATAAAGAGGCATAAAACATGCCTTTGTCACAGTCCATTGTCATCAATGGATAGATCTTTCAGACATAAAATCAATAAGGAAAGAGTGGCCTTAAATGACACATTAAACTGGTGGATTTAATTGATATTTTTAGAGCATTTCATCCCAAAGCAGAAGAATATACATTCTTTTCTAGTTCACATGGAACTAGCATTATTTACAATAGCTAAGATATGGAAGCAACATAAGTGCCCATCAATGGATGACTGAATTAAAAAGTTGTGGTACATGTATACGGTAGAATACTACTCAGTCATCAAAATGAATAAAATATTACCATCTGCAATGGATGGACCTGGAAGGTATTGTGCTATGTGAAATAAGCCAGAAAGAGAAAGACAAACATATGATTTCACTTCTATGTGGAGTCCAATGAACAAATTAAATTAACAAACAAAACAGAAACAGAAACGTAGATACAGAAAACAAACTGATGGTTGCCAGATAGAAGGGGAAAGGGTGAATGAGTGAAAAATGTGAAGGGATTAAGAAGTACAAATTGGTAGTTACAAAGTGGTTTCAGGGATGTAACGTACAGCAGAGAGAAAACAGTAATATTGTAATATCTATATATGGTGTTAAGTGGATATCAGATTTATGTCTAATCACCGTGCTGTGCACCTGAAACTAATATAAAATAATATTGAATTTAAAAAAATTTTAAACTGGAAAAAATGACAACAAAACCATTAAAAGTGGGATTACATTTTAATAAAACTTTTATGAAACAAATGAAATGGTACCATCATAATTTTTTTTAAATATAAAATGATACCAACAACATAAAAGCTATGTATAAATTCAACTAGACATGTAATACAGATAAATAATAGACCACATGGTAAAATCTGAACACTTAATATCATTCATGGGAGGATTATCGGTATAGTTACTTTCAAGATGTTGTGGTTTTTAAAATAAATGATTTTTTAAACATCAAATGGTCAAAGGGTGAGGAAAGAAAGGATAACAATTTTTTTTATCCTCACTCAAGGACATTTTTTTGCATTTATCTTCAGATATAGTGGGAGGGAGAGAGGGAAGGAGAGAGAGAGAGAAACATCGATGTGAGAAAGGCACATTGAGCGGCTGCCACCCACACGACCCCAACAGGGGCCGGGGACAAACTGCAACCGAAGTATGTGCCCCTAGCGGGAACCAAACCCAGGACTCTCTGGTCCACAGGCCAATGCTCTAACCACTGTGCTAATGCAGCCAGGGCAACATTTTCTTATTTGTGTTTTATTTCTCCAATTAAATGGGAAGAATCGAGACAGTAGGAAAAGGGCCCCTGCCGTGGGTACTTCTAGCCTACATTAGGCATCTACTTGTCAGACCTGCCAAACGGGCCTTTTTTTCTTTCTTTGTTCCTTTTTCCTTCTTTCTTTTCTTCTTTCCTGCCTGCCTTCCCTCAATAAACAGTAAGTTAGTCCCTGCCGCTAGTCAGGTCTTATGCTTTGCAGGTCTTATGCCTATAGAATGGAT